AAGAGAACTGCATATCCATTAGAACTATCCAAGAATAGAATTAGGTATTTTGTGAGGTAGTTAGTCCCACATTGCTGGAGATGCCATGAACACAAAGAGAAGATAGAGAAGGTGGTGGAAGTTCAGAGGATATGTGAGTTCCGTTCTAGACCTTTTGAGTTGGAGGTTGTGGCAGAACGATTATATGGAAATGTCTTAAAAATTGAGAACTGAAACTGCAAAGATGTTTGGGATAGAGATGGAGATCTGGGAGTTATCCATACAGAAGTGTTAATTGAAGTCATGAATATAGATAAGATTGCTCAAGGAGAAAGAGAGAAGAAGGCCAAGAGCTGAGTCTTGGAGAACACACACACACACACACACACACACACACACACCCCAGGGCTTCGAACTGGTTCTTCCCAGTTCAGTCATGGCTAAGGAAGCGAAACTGGGACAGACCTGAATTTTTAAAATTTGGGTGAACTGGAATGGGAAAAATTATGGGTTGAAGCCCTGCTAGAAACCTAATCTCGCTCTTAGAAAACAAGGGCAGCATATGTGTTACATAGCAACCAAATCTCTTGCTTGTGGGATTTTGAGCAGAGTTGGAAATAAAAGTGCCCTGCTCAAAGATGGTGGCCAGCCATACTGCTTTGAATGTGTGTTGCTCTCCACAGTCCTGCCAATAATCCAATCTCATGCATCAGGCTCCTGAAAGGGCTCACTATGCCTCTTCCAAGTCTCCCATTCCAGGGCTTCGACCTGTAATTTTTTTCCATTCTGGATCACTCAAATTGTAAAAATTTGGGTCTGTTCTGGTTTCAGTTTGTCGGCCATTACCGAACTGGTTCGAACCAATTTGAAGCCCTGACACATACACACACCCTGATGTGTCAGGGAAGGAGCAAATGTTGGAGACTCAGTACTGGTTGTCATCAAGTCAATTCTAATTCACGGCAATCCCTGTGTTTCAGAGTAGGACACATGCAATCACCATTATTTGGGTTCTCAATGGCTGATTTTTCAGAAGCAGATTGCCAGGCCTTTCTTCCGAGGCACCTTTGGGTGGGCTCAAACTTCCAACCTTTTGGATAGCAGCTGAGCATGTTAACTGTTTGCACCACCTAGGGACTCCATTAGAGGAGAAGCAGAAGTATAATGTCACAGAGACCAAGTAAAGAGCTTTGTGAAGGAAGAATGGTAATTGTTAAGTATCAGATACTGCTGAGAAGTCAAACAAGTTGAGGAGAGAATAGGGCCATTGGATTGGGGACAGGAGTGATGCCCTGTGAGTATTTTCATAAAGGTGTGAGACTGTAAGGCAGATTGCTAAGAGCTAAGGAGTGTCTGTTGAGGAAGTTGAGAGAACAAGCATAGGGCACTCATTCAAGAAGTCTGGCAGCCACTAATGGTAAAAGGAGGCAGCAAGGTCAAGGGAAGATGAGTTTGTTTTGTATTAAGGGAAATTTGATCATTTTACAGAGAATGAGAGATTTAAAAGACCCTAGAAAAGTAATTGACAGCATAAAGTCTCAGAGTGAATAGAAGGAGATGGGACACAAAAGAATAAGGCAGCTTTGCAGAAAAATAGAAGGACAAGCGTTAAGAAATTGTACCTTTTCTCCATTATGCTGTTTCATCTCATCCCTTCTGTGTTCATCATCTTGTTTTGGAAATAACAAAAAAATTACATACCTTTTGTGTTATCATTTGCTTATTTTACAAGTATCAGTCATTTCTTAATGCTCTTTGCCTGAGTTTGTCCCATCTGCTTTCTATGTTCTGTGAAATCTGGGTTCCCCTGAGAGCTCCTGATGTGGGCACATCGGTTTCTTAAAATGATCCTCCTTTTCTATTTTATTGGAGTCATTTACGGTTGTATCATCAGGAATGAGTCTTGAAGTCACCAGTTTCTCTTAAGTCATTTTCTCTTGTAGGGGGGAGTCTTTGACCATGGGTTGATGTCCTTTCCCCTTTTGAAGTGTTTTTTTGTTTTTTAATCAGCTTTCTTTAAGTTTTCTCTCCCTTCATTGTTACTATCCCCAAGATGAGCTAGTCATTTTCTCCTGACTCCTTGTAATGTGGTAGTAATACAGTGGGAAAGGAAACATACTTGAGTAAGAAGACTTAGGTTTCAATCCTGGTTTCACCATTTTCTGGTTTTGTGCCTTTGGAACGATCCTTTGTCCTCCTCTCAACCTCCTTCTCTGAATCTGTAAAATGAGGCTAGTAATACCCACTTTATGGGATTGCTGAATGGATTAAGTGTGAGCATTGAAAGGTCTGCCTGGGACACAGAGCTGGCATTCAGTGAAAGGTAGCTAAATCTCATTCTCCTGTTGTTTCTGTGTCATGTGACAGACTCGACTTGAAGGTGGCATGATAGTGACCTTACTGAAGAGGGTGAGGAATAGGGTTTGTATTAAAGACGTGTATAGCCTACAGCTGCCAGATCAGAGGTAGGGCATGCTTCTCATTGAGCGCAACAACTAGTTCGCATGGTAGAACGCAGCAAGGTAGAAATAAAGGTCATATTTTATTATTTTACAATGAATTTTTATTTTTTATTGAGGTATAATTTTCATTGATACAATTTGCAGATCTTGAACATTCAGTTAATTGACTTTTGACAGTTGTGTACCCTAGGGGTGGCAAACGTTTCTGTAAAAGGCTAGACAGTAAATATTTTAGACTTTGCAGGCCAAGAGGCAAAGATCAAGAATATTATATAGGTACTTTTATAACAATAGAGGAGCCCTGGTGGGACAGTGGTTAAGCGATCGGCCGCTAACTGAAGGATTGGTGGTTCGAACCCATGAGCTGCTCCACGGGAGAAAGATGTGGCAGTCTGTGTCCATAAGGATTACAGCATTGGAAACCCTATGGGGCAATTCTGTTCTGTCCTATAGGGTCTCTATGAGTTGGAATTGACTCAATGGCAACAGATTTTTTTTTTTTTTTTTTTTTACCTATAACAAGAGAGAAATTTCTACAAATTTTTTATTCATGAATTTCACATAATTTTCATGTGTCACAAAATATTCTTCTTTTGATTTTTATTTTAACCATGAAAAATATTGAACATATAAAATCAGGAGGCAGGCGAGATTTGGCCTGTGGGTCATAGTTTGTCAACTCTTGGTGCACATCTATGTAATCGCCATCTCAATCAACTACCTAGTCCTTGAGATTAAGATTAAATGAGAAAATGTGTGCAAAGGGCTCTGCATAATGCTTGGCACATAGGAGAGACTCATTAAATGATAGTTGTTATAATCACTACTATCTGATATGAGGAGCCCTGATGGTGCAGTGGTTAAGAGCTCGGCTGCTAACCAAAAATGTTGGCAGTTCGAATCCACCAGCCACTCCTTGGAAACATTTTGGGGCGGTTCTATTCTGTCCGATAGGGTCATTATGAGTCAGAATTGACTCAGTGGCGAGGGGTTTTGTTTGTTTGTTTTTAACTATTTGTTATGAAGGAAGGGATACGTACAATCCTTCAGAAAAAGAAAATGATGGTGGAATAGAAATGGCTAGGAACTCCTGATCTTAAGTGTAGCATATTTACTTCTTGATGGATTTTGCCTTGTTTCTGTCTGATGAAGCTGTGTTCATGATTGCTGCATGGGTCGTCAGTGTGTGTGTCTGCAAATGTGTGCTCACTTGTGTGTGCGTATGTGAGTACATGAGCATATAGTGATCACCTGGCTAGGACAACATATGGACAGTTATCAAGGCCAACACTGCCTTACTCATGTGGCTCCCTTGCAGGACTCTTTGGCTTCTTCTGGAAGGAGGAGTGCCATAGGTTGATGAATGAACGTTCTACTTCCAAAGCAATTGAAGGGTTGGCAGAGATGGAGATAGTCAACAAGGGTTGCCCATTGGTGCAAATTGCGTTGGAGGACTCTGAGCTACGTATCACTCCTTATTTTTCCTCAGGGCCCCTGAATAGCTGTTAGGGGATAATAAACTTTAGGGTAGAACAGTGACCACACCCAGCCCAATACCACAGCAACATGCCTGTTTGACAGATTATTAAGAAATTATTGAGAAGTATTTTCAAACTGTTACTTTAACAAAAGAGAGGTAGATCCTTTTATGTAGCAAGTGGGTACTTTCTTAGAAATTGTCATGTGGGTTTTAGCTGCTGCTCTATATAGCTCAACTACAGGTGCCTGAACACGTAACTATGAGCAATGAGTCTTTGATGCAGTTTTGCTGTCTATGAAATGTGATGAAATCTGCCTGTTGCCAAGATCATCTTTAGAAATCTCTTCCATTTGTACTGGCTGACATCATAAGTAGTTTGCAAAAGAAATAAATGTGTTCCACCCGATGAAATACACTGCTCCTCTGCATTTACATTTAACCTTATTGGAATTTCTTAAGTTTTCAAGTTGTGACCTTCCCGTGTGTTAACTGGCAGAGTTTGAGCAGTCATGTTGGCAGACATGCAGTGTCTTCTAAGGCAGGCAGCAAAGAGATTTTTCATCCATTATTAATTGATACTACTCTTTTCAGCAGACCAAACATTATTCTACTATTCAACTGCCAGAATTATTCTAGACCCGAGGTGAAGAATAAGTCATTCTTTCCCACGTATTTCTTATTATTTACCTAACTTAGCAAATGTCTCCTTCAGCTTTTTAGCTACTTTTTGGGGGCCTGAACATTTATATACATAGTATACTAATTGGATATTTCTTTATGAGCAGTGCTATTGGCCATTTTAGTGTTATTGTGGCTAAATCCAAGATGTGGTGTTATTCCAAAAGAGTCGGAAAGGATTGTCAAGAGAAAGAGTGAACCATAATACCATTCCTTTTAGAGCTTTAATTGTTGCTCATTGGTGGTGCGTTATGCACAGGATATGATATTACAAGCAAGGAATTGAGTTTCCCCTGAGGTAGTATCTCCTTTTGGTGTCCAACAGTTAATATTGGAAGCTTGACTTTTTTTTTCCTTTTGACCTCTCCTCCCCTTCCCCACCATGTCCTTGTAACATGTAGGTATCCAACTGGTTTGGCAACAAACGAATCAGGTACAAGAAGAATATCGGCAAGTTTCAGGAAGAAGCTAACCTCTACGCTGCAAAGACAGCCGTGACAGCCGCACATGCAGTAGCCGCAGCTGTGCAGAACAACCAGACCAATTCGCCCACTACGCCAAATTCTGGTGCGTACTGGGTGCTTGCTCCGTACTTGAGCCAGGCAGCCTTATGCCACAAAGCCCTGTCCCACAGGCCAGGAAATAGCCATACCAAGGGCACGGTGGAATTATAATTGTGTTAAAATGTGGGCTTGTTCTTGGGATGGATAAATGAGTGTATGGCCAGAGCTGTAAACCCACCGTCCCATAGTGAGAGCACCACTCTTTTAGGTAGATTCTGGAACTTCTACATTTAATAGTGGTTTTTAATTCAGCAATCAGGCAAAGTTCTGTCACTAACGATTATTTTGGTTATACTGTTCCGTATGTCACTTTAAGGTCAATGATGGTCTGTCAAATAGTGAAATAGCAGAAGTGTGAAATTTAACTGTTGCTGTGCATAATGAAGCTGGAATGTTGGATTTAAGTGCAGCAGTGCTTTCTACCTAATGTAGCCTCAGACTCCATTCTGCTTTCCTTTTTAGCGTTTCTTTACTACTGTCTAAGCGGTGCTGGCTTTGTGGGATCAGTAGGTTGTTAGCTGTTAAGGATATGGTATTTAATACGTGGATGCAATACTTCTGACTCCTCATACAGTACACTTTGGCCAAATTTTATGTGACATTTGTGATGGAGTTAGAAATATCTTAAAATTACAGAAAACTTGAATAACCATGAAAGTCCAAACAGATGGACTGGAGTAGCAGTTCAGGGGATTTTTATAAGGAGGCCTTTAAAATATGTCTTTAAAAGTTCAGCATATGAAGTTTTGTTTTGTTTTGTTTTACACCACCCCCACCCCCCACCCCCCAGTTCTTTTTAGTGGCACATAGTAACAGGTGAAAGGAAAGTTAGGTAAAACATAAAACGTACGTGTAAGAAAAAGCTTCAGAAAAACATTTCTTCTCTAGGTAATCGTCCACCCTGACAGTTAATGATGTTGAAGAGCTCATTTAATGGTCAAGTCCTGAAGATAAATGGAAACAAAAGAGAGCTTCTAGGCCAGTTAGTGGGTGTTTTTCTGTTTATTTTGATTTGTCTCTTTGTTTCTTATTGGGCTTCCCCATTGATAGGACTTTCCTAGATGCAAAACCCATCACAGGACCTAACTCTTGGAGTTGTTCTCCGACCCCTTAGATCTGGAAATGCTATATGTTGTGCCCAGTTTTCCCTTCTGCACCTTTTCTCCTTTGCCTGCCTCTAGGTCTTTGAGGATTATGTGTGTAGCTCTCTGTTATTCAGCTACTTAACTCTTTCCTTTCCAGGTTCTTCTGGTTCTTTTAACCTCCCAAATTCTGGGGACATGTTCATGAACATGCAGAGTCTGAATGGGGATTCTTACCAAGGGTCCCAAGTCGGAGCCAATGTGCAATCACAGGTAGGAGAAATGCCCCAACTGGGGCCTTTCTAGCAGGGTAGGGTTTGGGCTCAAAACTCCTTACTCTGACCCCATGGAAGTGGTCTGCACTTCTGTGCAGAACCAGTGCTGGGTGTTTGCAAATGTGACCTATCTGCCCCACCATTTAATTTAATGAGAGTCAAGTGAACAGTGACTTTTGATGATTCAAACCTGATAAACTTTGTGAATGCATTCGGCTCTGGCTTGAGCTCATGGAGCGGGGTTGGGTACATCCTATCGTGTCAAAATAGGACAGAAAACTTGTGTGTGTGAGTGTGTGTATGGTTTAAGAACATATTACTGTGGTTCATTCCTGTATATTTTTTAAGTCAGAATACAAAAACCTGAGTTCTTAAAGTATATTCCAGGTTCAACTCTTTTCTCATCCTTTTAATTGAAAACAACTACTTGTTTTTATGCATATAGGGCTGTGTGTACATATGAGAGAGAGAGAGAAAGATTCAGTATACATATTTATAAGTAGGTTTTTACCCACAGCCACACACATTTGGTTGCTATAGATGGAAAGTTTGCATTGCCATGAAGATGTTATTGTTTGGCTGGCATGAAAAACAAAGATGTGTGAGTTTAAATATGCAAGGAATTGTTGAAATTCTGCCAGTCACATTTGATTGATAAATTTGTCTTTCACTGAAGATGCTAAACCCTTGTGACACACATAATTCAAATTGTTTCCTTTTGTAAGTGATGATGTTTTAATAGATTTGGGATGATGAATTTTGTTTTGTCTCACTTCTAGGTGGATACCCTCCGTCATGTTATCAATCAGACGGGAGGCTACAGTGATGGCCTTGGAGGAAATTCACTGTACAGTCCACATAATTTAAACGTGAGTACTCTGGGCAACCAGATTCGAAGAGCTGTAGGAGCAGTGTCAGGCAAACAAGTGACTAATAAATAAATTAATGACCATTTGACTTGGCTTCTCATCTTGATCAGTGTTGGCGGATAGGAAGGCAGCATCTTTATTGCACTTTTCTTTTATGAATCTAAACGTTTGATGTTACATAGATGCCCTTAGAAGTCCTCACAGATGCCCAGGAGTGACTGGCATTCTGTCATAAACAGAGACTTAAGCATCAGCCCATTAAGACTGTGTTTCCTGCGGGCCATGCTGTGTCCCAGGGAGATGGTGAAAAACAGATCATTTATCTTAGAATCAAGCAGCAGGAAAAATTCCCAAACACAATGCAGGTGAAGGTGATAACCTTGGATGGCCCCAGACAGATCAACAAATCAAGCTAAACAAAGTATTCTATTTTTAAAGCATATTGCTGCATTGTTAATGTGGGATGCAAGACATGTTCAGCATTTTTAATGCCTCTCCATTTTTAATTAAATAGATACAGGAAATAATTTTAGCTTTTAGAACCAATTCATTAAAGCTTTACTTTATTCCCCACCCTGACATGGATGGAAAATGACAAGTCACACGGCTCCTGGGAGGGGGCTGTGGTGGCCATTGGGTCACCATGGTGGATTTGGAGTGGAGTGGTGGGCAGAACCTGGGATTCTAGACTTAGGGAGGAAATGAACTGCCCAACATATGGTAGTAGAGTCAGGAAGAAAATGGACAAATTCTCCCTGTTTAGGGCCTTGGCTTGCTATGAGAGTAAATATTAATGATTTAAAAAGTGATTGAGGATGTTCAATTGTAAAGGGAAAAAAGGACCATTAAATACTCAAATCTTTTACATTTGAAATGTCAAATCTTTCTTTTTGGGTTTATAAATAACTCATAATAACCCACAACAAACCATATAAAAACCCTTTTAGTTGCATTTCTCCTTTTTCATTTAAGTGTTTTGAAATGCTTCAGAGAATGTTGGATATCCTTATCAACATGATAAAATATGAAACTGTGATTGCTTGCAGCATTTTACAGACATGAATTCCATCTTCACTGATGAGGCTTGATAAGGTGCTGTTGTATAATACAGTGCATAATCTCAAACCACCAGAGTAAGGATTAATTTATTTTGAAAAAAAAGAATACTTGCTGACAACCTCTCCTCTAGCTGCTATGCTGGGTAAAAATACTGTACATTTGTTGTTTATAAATTTGGATAAAAGAGAAATGATGTTTACTTCAGATGGAATATCTTTAGACTTGTATCTGCGTAAGAGTTTTTCTTTTTCTAAGTAGATTTTCATACCTTAGGGGGAAAACAGCTTACCTTTTAGATAGAGAAGAGGATTGCTTATAGAGCACACAAACACACATGGGCATATCATCATCCAGTCCCACCCGACTGATGCTTTAAAACACTCCCATCCGCACCCCCACCTGAATTTGATATGCCTCAAGCTCGGAAAATCCTATTCCCTTTGGCTCCAGTCATTGCTGTGGTGTTGTTTGTTCCACCTCCCCCCCCCCCGCCCCTCCCCTTCCCTGTGGTCCTAGAGGGAGGAAGGATACTTTATATACAGAACTATGCAGTCAATCAGAAGACAGGGGGTTCTTTAAGAACAAAGATCTTTGGAGAAAAAAGAATTCCAAGCACAAGGCTTATCTAAAAGCCATATCCAGGCTGGACAGGGATCTAGACAGAGTCCTCGGCAGCGTTGTGGCACAGGCCTGGAATAAGACATTTTGGATGGACTTGCAGAGTAAGTTGCAGATGGACATGAGGGAGGCACGGGGGACCCTACTGACCCACACTGACACTGGTGTAGGAGGTCTGGCTCAGGGCGCAGCATAGCAGCAGAGGCTGGTCTGTGCTGCAGGCACTGGAGAAAGCCCAGCTTACCCTCGCTTTCTCTCCAGAAAGGTCCGTCCCATCACTTCCACTCAGTGTTCCCCAACTCACAAGCCCAGCACCTCCCTCTTCTTGACTGACATAAAAATATGTAGTGACAAGCTGTCTGCCACAGCAGAAATCTGATCAGACACTGATTTCAGCAATTGCCTCTACAGGCCAAGACATAAGGCAAATTTGTTTCTGAGTACTGTTATTGCTGATGCAGGTCTGAGGCTGGAAGGGCCAGCGGCGTGTGGAAAGCGGTAGCAACATCCCAAATAGGAGCTCCAGTTATAGATAATTGGAATACAGATTTGAATAGTGTGTGCTCCTTCACAGTTCATGCATTTTTATTCTGGAAGATCCTATTTGGAGGGAAATTCTGGCCTTCATTTTCCAAGGGTTATACTAGCTGGCTGTCAGGTGTGTTGGGAAAAAGGGTGGGCAACTTCTTCTCTATGGAAATGAAGATTAAGCTGAGTTGAAGTTTATACTTCATGGAGCTCAAGGTTTTGCTGAGGTACTGCATTGGGCTTCACCCCTACTCCCTTCTTAAAAGATTCCTTTTCTAGTCACTTTATTTTTACCAGCAAATCAAAGGCTGAGCTTCATGCCAGCTTGGGCCTAGCTGAAGCCCTTCTTCAGCATGCTGATTTATTGCCAGGCCTTCACTTGGTGGGATGGATTTGTTTTACATGCATTTAATCCCATTTTAACACATGCTTCAAACTCCTGCCAAAGTGGGTTTAGAAAATACATTTGCTAATGCATCTTTGCTCTCATGTTGTCATCTGGGTGTTTTAAACTGGGGAGTAGAATTAATATGTAGACGTGCACCCGTTGAACTGTGTTTCTTCTTTCAGGCTAATGGAGGCTGGCAGGACGCAACAACTCCATCTTCTGTGACTTCTCCTACCGAAGGCCCAGGAAGTGTGCACTCTGATACCTCTAACTAATCTTTGGCAACACTTTTCCCTGAGCTGACATGCCTTGATAAGTGCATTCAGAGCAATAGGAGGAAAAGGAAAGCGTTTTTGTAGCCCACCATCTACAGCTTTACTGTAAAACCTTGTCTTATTAGAGAACTTGGTAAATCTGTTTTTTAAGGAATCATAATCATTTGTATTTATACTTAAAAACACACAATGTTTTAAAAAAAAGCACTTTATCCAATTAGGCCAAGATTTAACATTGTTGACAGTCCTGTAGCTATTTTATCATAATTTATTATCAATATTTTACATTCATGGTTTCATAGTTGCCAATTACTTGGCCTTAAGGGTAAAAAGTACAATATATGCTAAACCTCAATCGTTAAAGCAGATGCAAAGATTCACCTCACCTAAATTTAACTTCTTGCATATCCATTGCAGACTTTGATTGTCTTTCTTTCATATCACTAATGGAGTTGGAATAAAAGAGCTGTTTGGCTATCTCTGTTAATGATGGTTGTGTTTAAGAATCTTCCTCGTCACACTTGTGTTTCGATCTCTTACGTTATAATTAGGTCAGAGACTGGTAGCATCTTTTCTCTCTCTGAAACACCAGTGCCCAGAGTCTGCTCAGTAATTAAATTATGGATCCAGATTATTCTGAGCGATGAAGATACTTGCTGCTGATAGAGGTGAAACTGAGATCCGTCTGGGGTTTTACGGTGTGCGCTGGGTGCTGCACAGACTTGTCAAGGTTTGCTATGTCCTCTGGGCATCGATAAAAGGCCCTGCTCTCTGGAGTGTTGTATATAGTGTAGCAAAAGAGTATTTATACATCTCACCAATCAAAACACAGCTTTATTACCTCATGCGAACTCATACAAACCAATAGAATTTCAACATGTTCTGTAGCTTAGAGTGCTCACTTACTACCTCTGAACAATACTCACGCTGTAGTTTGTCTCTTTCTTATCTTTTTGCATCTTGTAATTAACTCTTTGTTTCCCTTCATAAAATGTAATGTACATTGTAATCTTTTAAAAGAAAAATCAGGGTTGCATTTGCAACTTTTAAAAAACCGAGAGTGGAAACATTGGGTCTTAATTCAATACAGGATCAGTAAAACTGTTGTAAATACTGAGAAACATTTTGAATGTTCTTCATCTTGTTACTAATCCATGCAAAAAAAGCAGCGACTAATTGTGATGCATTCAGATTTCAGTATTCAGTACTGTATATTTCACCCTGTGTAATGGGGCCCCCCTCTCCTCTCTTTTTGTATCGTATGCGATTCTGAAACTGATTGAGTCATGAAAATAAGTTGTGGCGGTGATTCTAATGTATTAAAAACGTTTCGTGTTCCTTTCTAACTGGATTACACCCTGGATTGATAAAGTCTTCCTCGTGGTAGTTATATGTAGTTTCAAACATGAATAAACTTTTTGCTTTCATGATTAAATGTTGATGCAGTTTTCTTACTCCACCACCTAAGCAAGGCAGTGCAGGGAAAGGAGAAAGCCTGCCCAGAGCCAGGCCTCGCATGTGAAGGTGCGACCTGTCAGAAGGGGCTTTGAGATGATGGGGAGGTTGGGAGGAAAGTAACAGTGACTGCTGACTGAGCACCGCCTCTGTGCAGACTCGATGCCAGTAACCAAACTATCTCTACATGTCCTCACTGGATCCTTACACTCATACGATACCACCAGGAAAATAGTGTCCCCATTTTCTGAGAAAAATTAAGCAAATGCCCCACAGTTACAGAGCTAGGACAACAAGGGGCCACACCTTGAACTCAAGTCTATCAGCCCTTGGAGCTCACACTCTCTGACCACTTGTTAGATGGAATGATTTTCCCTTTTTAATTACCAGTGCCTTGTCACATTCACTGTTTCACTTTGCTAAAGTCTGTGAGATACTAGCTAAGAACAAGCAAAGTTTGTCTGAAAACAGTGAGCCTTAGATGCCATTACAAAGACAAAAAACCCTGCAACTTCTTAACATAACTTTTAAAAATCTAAACTTTAAAGTGAAAGACCAACTAAAAGACTTTTACCTAGATGTTTACATACGCGTTTGTCACTAATATCTAAACCTTTATAATAAAAGAGGTCAATAGCAGGTAATTGGCCTGTTTACTATATCTCAAGGAAATCGACTCACAGGAAATCAGATTAATGTTAATCAGTTGCAGCAAACTGTCTATGATAAATACAACTGTTGTACTATTTCAGTTGGTACAGCCAGGCAAAACAAGGTCTAGGGCCACCATTCCCATTAATCTTGAGGCAGTTATACTGTGAGGGTAAACTTTATAAAATAGGTTGCCCTCCAAAGCTGTCCTCCCTCACGCAGGCTCTCAGCCTGCCTGTAGGAATCTTTCCCATGGCTCAGTAGTTATGTGCATGATTCAATTAGCTTGTGGGTCAGCCTTTCTTATCTTCGTACATAAAACAATCTCTATGCTGCATGGTTTTGCATAAATATCCTGTGGAAACAATACACATGCACACACAAATTCATCTTCTTTGATGTTCAAAAACATTAAAGTCCTAAGTATTCAGATTTTAGCTGAGCCTGTTGAGAGACACACACACCAAGTGCTTTTCAGAGATTCATACCTTGACTAGCAACCCTTGAGGGAAATAACGGAGTCTGGGCTTTTTCTCTGAGGAGGCTTAAATAAAACAGCCCATTTCCTTACAATATGCTAGTTTAGGAAGTACTTGCACATTCTTCACTACCTCTTTGGGAGGGCAGAAGCATCCTCAGTTTGTAAATGAGATAACGGGTACTACACAGGCCTTCCAGCCTAGCTTCTGGTGACCACTGGAGTTTGTAAAGGCATGGAAACTGCACAGGAACCAACCCTGAGATTCTTAGGTCTCACTCAATTGGGTGAAATCAGTCATTGGTTTGATACATTTTCACCAGGTACCTTTTCTGGGTCAAGTGACAGGTTAGGGGCTAGGCCCAGAAATGAATGAAACTGGACCCGGAGATCCTGGGCCTAGTCCTTCTTGTTCAGAAAGTAATGCTTAGTAAGGGTAGTAGAAAGGCTAGTAGACTGTTAAACCCTAATGCTGGACAAGTGAGGGTCCCCAAACCGAATCACAAGGTCAAAAGAATTAACAGTAGGAAACTGAAACACCCATTCACAGGCCAAGGGGCCTGTCCCCACATACAATTAGATGCACAAAAACACACGTGTGCTTGTATGAGAATATGTGTTTGTTCACAAGTTTCTGGAGTCCAAGTTCCTGTGAAGCTGCTCATGTTGGACTATTAGTCTTCCACCAGGAGGTACACAAGCCATTGTGGGAAGTGAGGGGCGGTGTTCTAGAGAAGCACCCTCTGTGTGTGGAAAATGGTGACATGGGATTAGTCCCCCTGAAGGGGTGGTGTTTTTTGTGTGAGATGTGAGACGGGGGCCTTCACTGCACTGACAGCTGCAGTTTATTGAGCATCTCCTGTGTGCCCCGCCCTTGGCCAGGTGCTTTTCATACATTATTTAATCCCCATGTAGCCCCGTATGTAGGTCATATTATTATCCCATTTTTGGATGGGGAACCTGAGGTTCAAAGAGGTGAGACCTCCTGTCTTATGGTTAATTAAAGTGCAGAGCTGCAGTTTGCCCTGTGAAGGCTTTGTGCAACACCTTCCAGCAGCCGCTTGTAGCGGGACAGAAAGAGGCTCCTATGAACTTAGGCCATCCAGTCTCCAGTGTGAGGTCCCTTTTGGGGTGAGGTGACCAGGGAAATCATCTTCCTCCCCCCCCTTAGACTTTGTAGCTTTCTTGCCCACGCCTGAGTTGCCTGAACCACTTGAGTATGTATGACCTGTGGAATGTGTGTGATGTGTGTCACAGTTTGTATGTGGTCCTATCTGTGTGTGGATCACAAGGTTGGGACAAGGAACAGGAAGAGCCCAGGTGCTTGGGCTGGGCTGGGCCTGGCACCATCACTAATGGAGGCAAACAGAGTAGCTACCTCGGAGGGCAGCTGTCGTTCTCAGGAAGTGCTGACACAGAGCCTGGGTTACATTCTCTCCTCATACTTGACTATGGACAGAGTTCCACCTGGGCTTGGGTGTGCTCCCTGTGCCTGTGTGGGTGCTCTCCAAGTCTCAGGCTCTGCCCAGTTTATTAGCTCTGGCCTGTCTCCTTAGTCCCTCTGCCTGCACAACCGACACTGAGTTTGAGCATATCTCACCCCACGTTCTGGAGCCCAGCAGGCATGGGTTTGAATCCTGGCTTTGCCTCCTACCAACTGTGTGACAATAGGTGAGGGACTTAACCTCCCTGAGCCTCAGTTTCCTCATTCCCTCTTCTTAGAATGTCCCTGTGCACCTTGTCTCCCCTGTGAATGCCCATCTTTCGAGGCTGAGCCAGATCACTGTGTCCTCTCACAGAGCCAGGCCCTCCCACCTCCCTTATGCAGCACTTTGTCTCTTCTCCTGGACATCCAAGCAGATGCCCAAAGGGAGAGGGAGTTAGAAAAGTGAGGAGTTAGTTGAATGGGGGTTGTAGGCACAAGGAAAAGTGTACCAAGCAAGGGGAAGAGCCTGTGCACAGGCCAGGAGGCCAGAGCCAGCAATAGTCAGAAGCATCTGTGGATGCTTGCTAAGTAACTTCACAGATTCTCTCTTCAGATCCTTTCAGCAGCTGCATGAGGAAGCTTCTATTATCTTCATTTTACAGATGAGGACACTGAAGTTCAAAGGGTGGAGCCACATGCCCAAATACAGAGCTGGAATACAAGTGTCAGTGTGTCTGAAGCCCAAACCTACACTTAAATCCCTTTTGTGCTAAGCTGTTTTGTCAAGTGTCTGTGTGCTCATAGCAGTCCGTAGGCCCACTGTGTGCCTGCCTGGAGCTAGTGAAGGTGAGGTGAGAACTGAGCAGAGAAGAGGATGGATGCCAGCCCCTGGTGCCTCACTGGGGCCCTTGGCTCCTCCCCCTAGCAGCCCAGGATCCCAGGGACACCCTCCGGAAGGCTGCACTAGCATCCAAAGGCACTTTGGGTCAACTAAAGCCTGCAGGTTGTCCTGCTGAACCTGGGTGCCTGCCCATGGACAATAAGAGTGGCCACCTGCCAGCCCTTCTACCTTGGCTGTTGTGAACTCAGCCTATGTGCACAGAGCTGCTGGGTGCCATGCCTTTCACAGCCACGTAGACAGCCCCATCCCAGGAATGAAGAAACAGATGCTGGGGTTCAGTGTAGCCCCCTGGCTAGGAAGGCATCATGGCTTAACACTTATGAATGTGGGCTCCCAAGTGCAACTGCCTGGGGTTCAAGCCTGGCTCTGCCTCATACCAACTGTGTGTCCTTGGGGAAGTCACATAAACTCTCTGTGCTTCAGTTTCTTAACTGTCAAGAGTTGCAGACAGGGTGAAGCAAGTTGGTTTGGGGACAGTGCCCTGCATATAGTAGGAGCTGAGGCTGGCTGCTGTTACTTCCTATTAGTCCGTGACTTGCCCCATGGCGATGTTTTGCACTTGAATGCCGGTTGCATTGATGCCATACCTCCCCCCCCACCCCCGTGCAAGTCCCACTTCACCCACTGTTTATAAAACCCAGGTTTTCTGATACCCAGGTTGATGTATCTCCCTTCAAAGCAACCTGGTGTGAAGAGCTAGGGCACTGGAGTCAGGCCAAGTTCTGCCACTTATCAGTGGTGTGTGACCTTGGACGTGTCACCTCTTCTCTCTGCAGCCTCAGTTTCCTCATCTGTAAAGTGGAGATTTTATTCCTATCTACCTCATAAAGATGTCATAAAGATTAAGCAAGCTGGTGCACACACGGTGCCTGGACCCTAGGGTGTGGTAGGTTCTCCTCTTATTGTTGTTACAGGTGGCCCAAATCAGAAGGGAACGCCTACCTCTGGTCTCTCTAGCTGGAATGGTTACTTCTGGTTAACAGTGGATCCTAGGGGGTGGCTCAACCTCCTCACCCCACCCACTCTGGCCTGCTCCCCTCAACCCTCAAGGCTGGACTGAGGCTGAGGCTTCACCTCTCACCGCAGTCTCAGGAGATAATAAAAGGCTGATCCTTTTTCTCCTGGTAAAATTTCAGCAGAAAGTGTACGCATCATTAAATATGGAAATCCAGAATTTTATTAGCAATCTGCTAGATCTGAACTGACGCCAATTAAACAAAAAAGATATCATTTATAAAAAGGCAGAGTTCAACTTGTATTAAATATGAAATGCAATTTTCTCCTGGTTTTGATTTATTACTGGTGGTCCATTGTTCAAAGAAGCATGTTATATTTCAATAGAGAAATATTGTTTATTCATTAATATTTTAAAACGGGCTTATTGCTGTGCATGGCTCTCACCGAATGAAACTTATGATTTAAAACATGAATTAATAAACACATCTGAAAGTGTTAGACGAGATCACAACCTCTCATTTTTCATTTTCCTGGGAGCATATTAAATTTTTATAATTCTGCATCTAC